AGTCTGAGATATTGTGATTTGACTTTACAGTCCCCTTATAGTATCTCCACCCTAGATCCTTTAGATCCATGAACTGTCTTTCTGAAAAGAATTATATTTCCAAAGAATCACATGGTGATGTTAACCTTGAGTGATTCAGAGATGCTTCATAGGACAGGATAAACGTCTGATGAGCTTGAGTCTCCTCTCTTCTGGTAGGAAGCTGTTTCTGAAGCTTCATAACCTAAGAGGAAACTTACGGTGTTCATCTCTTCCAAATCCCTCTTTTAAATAGGAAAAGGTGTGAGTCTGACTGACGGGGCTGGAGAGGACCCTGCAGGGCCAGGCCAGGTAGAGGGGGTGTCTCATTTGGTGCTTGGACCCTTGGGGACTTTTTCAAACCAGCCTATAACCTAGAGTGTAGTGAAAACCCATATTCCCAAACTCTTTTCCCATAAAGACCTGGTAAAATGCCACATTGGTCTCAATTTCGCATTTTGTGTTGCTGCTTTGCAGGGATCTCAGATACTAACCCCGCTGATGGAGGGTTCTGGGTACAGGACAATCACCCTCTGCAGCTGCTGTTTGCATGAGGCAGATGTCTGTGGAGAAATGATCATGGCTGCAGGTCAGGGGCCGGAGAGGCCTCCTTTGGCAGAGCCCAGTTGGTATTGGGGCCTTCTGGAGTTGCTGCCCCAGGAGAGGTCAGGCAGGAGGGGACAGGAGACCTCTTTACTTCCCCATGGACCTTTTCTGGGGTTCAAAGTCTTGGAAAAGGTGATGCAGCTGAAGGACAGTGAGGGCTCCCTTGGGGCAGGAGAGGGCTATGGGAGCCATTGGCCGTGATCCCAGAGGGTGACAAGAGCAGCCTGGCTGTCACAAGGGCTTAGGAAAAGCTGTTCTAACGCCATGGCAACTGCTGAAGGCATTTTGCAAAGCTCAGGTCTTTCCAACCAGATTCTGCTTTCCAGTCCCCTTTCATTCTCTGCCCACCCCCACCCTCCAGGGCTGCTCTCTCTGTCCCCACGGCTTTGTTGACCTTTCAAAGCTCCCCTGGCACTGAGCGCGTTATCTGGAAGCAGGTTTTACCCAGGGCCCCGTCCTGGGCCACCGGCCCTGCTAATTTTGCCTCCACTCGGTGAAGCTGGTTCTGTGAATCTCTTTCTTTCCCTTACGTACACTCACTGCTTCCTTTCTCTTCTCTCTTTCTCACTTTCCCTGGAGAGGAACCTCTCTCCTGGGCCTGCTGACAGTGGGAAGATGTCACCTGCCCAGGAGGCTTGCCCTTCCCAGCCCTGTCTCCCAGCTCTGCCTGCCAGGCCCACTGCTCAGCTCCGGGAGGCCCCGGGGAGCCTCAGCTTCTATGGGCCCTGGGAGCTGGTGGCAGAGCCCTCACTGCCTTCTTGGCCGGGATGGGGTGGGGGCAGGCGAGGAGAAGGCTCTCAAAACATAGAGCCTGAGAGGACTGGCCCCTCCACCCCTGCCCTGCCCACGGGGCTGAATAAGACTGTTTGTGAAGAGATGCTGGATGTTGACTGTCCACACTCCACCCGAGCTAGAGAAGGAGTGGAGAGTAGGTTGTTGAACCTTCTTGTGCAATCTTTCAGCCATGAACCGTGTCTGAGGCCGAGAAAGTTGTTTTGATTAAGGTGGCACCTGAAAAAAACTTTTTAGTATCTATTATTTATTTATATAAGACACAGGCTTCCCACTGGCGTTTCCATCCCATTTAGAATGTGTTTTTATGGCTGAGCCCCTGACCTTTCACCTCCTTCCTTCCTAACCTACTCCCCACCCAGTAAAGCAGGTCATTGGAGGACTGAGCGGGCCCCGTGGCTTTCCCCTGGCAGGGAGCTGGTGCTGGATTTCTCCCAGGCTGAAAAAAAAGAATAGATTTAGATCTACAGAAAAGTTGCAAAGCTAGTGCCAAATTCCCTTTTACCCCTCGCCTAGTTTCCCCTGTTGTTAACATCTTGCATCACGAGGAACGTTTGTCACACTAAGAAACCAACACCAGAATATGACTATTAACTAAGCCCCACCCTTTGTTCAGATTTCACTAGTTTCCCCCCAGTGTTCTTTTCTGCTCGAGGATCCCAGCCAATACTGCACGTTGCATCCACGCATCCTCACTCCCCTCTGGCCTGTGGGGGTGTCTGACTCTCCCTGTTTGGATGACCGAGGCAGTTTTGAGGAGTACTGGTCGATATTTTGTAGAACGTCCCACGATTTGCGTTTCCTGCTTTTCTCACGGCTGGACTAAGGGTATGAGTTTGGCGGAGGAAGACCACTGAGGTGAAGCACCATCTCATCACAGTAAACCAAGGTAACGGTCCGTCATCAGCGTGGCTTGTCGCTGACGCTAACCTGGATCACTTGACCGAGTGATTGTGTTTCCCCGTTGTGAGGCTTGTCTTCCCCCCTTTTCCATGCTGTACTCTTGGGAGGCAAGCGCACCCTCAGAGCAGGCAGGGGACGGAGGAAGTATCACGTACATTATTTAGAATCTGTTGTAGGGAAGATCCCAGAGATGCAGGTCAGAAATTCCCCCTAGAACTTACCGGAAGGCCAGTGGTGCTGGACGCATGGGCTTTGTGGGGCTGGTCATGCAGACCCCAAGGAGAGCATCTCATGGGGCCATACCCTGTGTGTCTTTAGCTCCTGGGTATAAGGGTGAGCAGTCTGGAGATACACACACACACGTAACCACTGTTTAAAACCACTGAGTCATTCAAAACCATTGAGCAAGTGTCCATGAGTACACAGTACTCTGCTGGGCACTGAAGGAGGCAAAGGGTGGTAAATGAGACTTAATTGAGACCCCAGGTGCTGCAAGGGGAGATTATGTGTAATTCAATAA